CCCTATCCCTAACCCTAACCCTAACCCTATCCCTAACCCTATCCCTAACCCTAACCCTATCCCTAACCCTATCCCTAACCCTAACCCTATCCCTAACCCTAACCCTAACCCTAACCCTATCCCTACCCTATCCCTAACCCTAACCCTAACCCTAACCCTATCCCTATCCCTATCCCTAACCCTAACCCTATCCCTAACCCTAACCCTAACCCTAACCCTAACCCTAACCCTTGAAATTCTCGCTGGACCATAATTACTGACATTGTTTTAGCAAATGTCATCACACAAAACGCCTTCTCTTTGCTTGATTCCGCCATTTTGAAAACAGCGACCCCTAGCGACGCCTAGCGGCATTAACGTACATGTGTGTTACTCAAAAAAAACTTTGATAGTTTATCTGTCGCTACGTAGCTGTGGTTTGGTTACAGTAAACATACATTCGTCTAAAATTAATTTTCTTATTGGCCTATTCATTTTGACTAACCCTGTAATATATAATACTGATATTGTGCTATGCCACTTGTTTCCAACTCCCTTTATTAGAAAAAATTGCAGACTTGGTTTAGAAAAACAGAAAGAAGAGCTCTGTAGAAAAGAAAAAGAGAGGAAGAGAGAGAGAGGCCCGCGAGTGAGTCCAGTAGAAACGGTGGTGCCAACGGGAATCGTGCGAGCCGGACGGGACCCCTCCCCTCGTCCGGCATGGAGACCCCGACCCACTTTCGTACAAGAGTCGTGAACGAGGATCCGCTGGGGATGGGCAGAAGAACCATGGCGGAAGAAGAACCGAAGAAAGGTGTGGAGCCCGGAGATTTGACCTGGAAGGAAGAGAAAGGTTTGCTTTAAATTCGGAGATTCCAAGAAAGGCATCTCTACACAGTGTGGGATTATACCAGTGGTTCTCAACCTTCCTAATGCCGTGACCCCTTAATACATGTTATGGTGTCCCCCAACCATAATATTGTTTTCATTGCTACTTGGTATCTGTCATTTTTACTACTGTTATAAGTTGTAAATATCCGATATGCAGGATGTATTTTCATCCACTGGACCAAATTGGCCCAAT